CACACCACGGATTAAATGAACTTCGCACAGTTGAACAGAATGAGCTTGCTAATGACAACTTGCAACTGCAAAGGCCACGGTGAATTTGTTTTCTTTTTTGGCGTTCTAATCCCGATGTATCTGATTAGTTAATCCAGAGTCCAATTGAATTTGCCAATGAGTATCAGCTATGAAATGGGATTGTTTGTTGTTCCACTCCAACTTGCCATCGCTGATGTGGGTGTGGTGTGGATAGCGGTGCGATGAGGTGGTGGTAGTGGGCAACCTTTGCGGAATGGGTGAAGAGAGGAACCATGCTGTGAGATGGATAGATAGATACATAAATATGTTGATTTGTGGGAGGTAAGTGAATTCCACCGCCTAGATTTCCTGTGCGAAGTGGAAAATGTGTTCTCCTCTCGGAAGCTTCCACACCGCTGCACATTGTGCACTCGTCAGGTCTTTCTGCAATCAGCACTGTTTGAGAGTTACATTTCTCAAAACGTATACTTCCTTTGGCGAGGCAATCTCGATGGTGGCTCACCCTGGTGAAGAAAAAGTGAAGTATCGGAAAGGCACCACCAACCGTGATCCATAAAACCGAATTCACTTGTAGTTGGTAAAGCGACATGGAGAATGGGTGTTGCATCCTGGTGGAAGTAGTCTAATGAACTCAACAATTTATATCTTGCTAAACTTATTTCCCTCATTTACCTCTGACCGATGAACCAGAATGTAACCAAAGGAATTGGGGCTGCGAATTCCGATACCATATAAGCGCAAGTCACAAAAAGCGATCAACCCGGCCCTTGCCTTTGGAAAATCAACTACATTTTAGTTTCAATTTTTCCCCTAACTCTCCCTCTCCTCTATCACATCTCCATTTGCGATGTGACTTGATAATGATAGTAAGCAGTGGCAGGGTGGTAAATGTTAGCTTGTGAAAGTGCAGGTTCAGAAGCACGACGAATGATTTGAGGCCCCAATTGCCATCACTTCACTTCACTCAATCTGACAACGGACATTGTCCTCTTCCGTTCACAGCAGAACATTGCAAGACTGCAAACCAACTTCCACAAAACTGACAAGCGAGAGGATTTGCACGTTGAGATGACATTGAATGGCAGGTGAAGTGATGGGACATACCACATCACGTCTTCCAAGTGGCGATCATCAGTTAATCATGGAAGGCTGGTACATGACATACTGGATAGGCATGAGAAATAGCATAGGCAGGTGAGACATTGGCTGGAAGGTGGCCGAGGCTGGTGTGGGCAGACAGGTGGGTAGACACTATCAACTAATCAGTAAGTACCATTAACTACCATCATTGTTGACTAACGCAATCGCAGTGCATCCGACGACTGAGGTGAGTGTCTGATTCCATCAGCGTCACCTCCAACCCTTGTTACAACCTCGTTTTCACAGTTGCATGTCAGTGTTAGTATAAACTCCTGCTGCTCATGGTCGGGCGCCACATCTATACACTCGAGTCTACTGACTTCTCTCTCACAGGTGGTGTTGCGGTCCCGTTTAAAAGCACCCATTTGATTTGCATTTGGGGAATATGATGGGATTTATGTCTGCCTGTCAGTCAGTTTGTTGGATTGTGTGCTTGTGATGTGTGATAAAATCACATCCTGAGGTTTGAATGCAGTCTTCATTCTACTACTGACTGGCTTCAATCCACCTCGATGAATGATAACCGCTAATAGAAAGAGGCGCTTCATGCGAGTAACCGAATGAATGATCGACACTAACTAAGTGACTCAACGAATGAGAGAGTAGCTGAGGTAATGCTTTGAATTTGCTTTTTTTTGATAATCTACTGCTGCTTCACGATCTCTCAGTTATGGGGAGGTTGTATGGATTACAAGTACACGGATACTTCGCTGTTCTTGATATTTTCCAGCTCTTCTCACTCCTCATCAGCGTTGTACATAATAAAGCAAAATGTATCAAATTTACCTTCACCAATGTCTCGGAAGTGCACTCCGATTTATCGTTGTGACGGTGGAAAGGAAGTAATATTACCATTTCGGTCATTATTACACTTCCACACGAAGGCAACCGAAGACCATGCACTGCTCACCGCACAACTGGCCAATGAGGAGGAGGTGGAGGTAAAGGCGGAAGAGGAGGTGGAGGAGTTGGTAAAAAAGGCAGTTTTTTTACCCACCCGCAGTTTTTGTCAAGTTGTTCCGTGCAGACAGGTCTCAACAGCTAGCTTTGTCTGACCTCAAGGCAGTGAACAATTTCCATTTGACGTTTTGTCCAACATTTCACCTTTCACATCCGCACAATAGGACATGCACACGCATGTACACTTTGGTGCACGCAGACACGGAGCACAGTGTCGAGTCGGATTGGAGGTGACTGAGTAGATTTTTCTTTGTTTGCCATAAAAAGTAGTGCTTCCTCATCCCTTACGATCTGCTGACAAATGCCACACCTTCTCCAATTACTATGCAGGAAACTAGAGGGCAGGCCTCTGTTTCATCTTCGCAACCCATGTCAACTTTACCCTTGAAGCGGACAAGCTGGCATTGCAGGCAACCAACACATCTACTCAACATGAGGTGATATTGCAGTTCAAACGAAAGGGAAAGGAAGGTAGTGTAAGGAAGGTACTATGGAGGGCAAAGATGCTTCATCTAATGCGGAGTAAACCTCCTTCAGGTAATTCGCGCATACCATCTACTAAATACTCACTCTTCCCTGTTACTGTGGGCTTGTCGCCACTCATCTTTGGTGAAATCGGAGCAAGTGCACGAAAGATGTCTGACTTTGCATTAAGGGGACTTTGCAAATCATTGCCTTTCTTCTCTACAACTTGCAGACGTCCATCGAGTGCTCCATAGCCACTCACCACGCACGTCTGAGACTCGATTTGAATGGTTCTTCCAGGTGTTGCCTGTATTTGGAATGGATTTAGGAAGTAAGGTGGGTGTTTTGTCCCTATGTCTGTCTGTTTATTGGTTTGTGTGCTTTTGCTGTGTGGTGGACTCACATCTTGATGCCTGAGTTCTGCGCCTTACTGACTGGTTTCATTTCACCCCATGACAGGTGACGGATGAGCTGAAGAGGCGCATTGTGATAGTGACAGAACGAATGACTGTTAGACGTTAGGACGAGGAGTTTGAATGATGCTTTAAAGTTGTAGTTTGAGAGCTTGTTGCCACTCTACAATCTCCCAATTATTTGTGGACGCATACTTTGATGTTCTGACGGTTTAATGCCTAGCAGTAGGTAAACACTAAATGCACAGCCTCATTTGACTGCACATTTCGATGCAAAGCATCCACATTTGACAAAAAATGCAGGCGTTTCCTCGCTCCTTGCATATTTTAAAAATAAACACAGTCGCGTAAACAGGTCTGCCCATTGGTAGTTAGGCAGGAAGTGAAAGTTGGCTGGAGACGCCTTCTACACTCAATGAATGAGGATGGAAATGCCAAGTAAGTTGACGAAATGGCATTAATGACCAGCGAGCCAAAAGCCATGATACCAACCAAAACGCGTGTTAAATTATTTGTAGTGCAGACAATCTCTTCTACTGGAAGACTAATAATCATAATGATGGCAAAGGAGGGATTGTTTTCCCATTATTGTCAGAATGACCAGACGGAGTTCATTTTCGAGATGATGGCATTGGTGATGAGGGTGATGTGGAAGAAGGGGAGGAAGAGAAAGAAGTAAAAGAGGAGGGCATTTTGATGAGAAAAGCTCGCCTGTGAAATGATTTGAGTTGGCACCTCACCTCATCCTCCACAATTCTTGAGCTGCTCCTTCTCCATCTGATGACTACCACCCTTTCAGTGCGTACTACCATTGCTAAGGTGCCTATCAAACGGATATATGAAGGGGAATAGGCAGTTGGGAGGGAAGGCGAACCTAATATGGATATGAGGTGACTACGTTAAGAGTCAGGTTATTTAGTTGAGAGAGACGAATTCCTTCATGAAAGCGAAATTTGCAGAATCAAGTTGTTCAGCCACATATCGATGCATTGCATTGGATGATTTCCCTTCCGGTTTAAACGCTCATTCGCCTCATCCAACTGCCCAACTCCATTATCAATCTGTTTGAATGCCTGTTGCCTTGCCTGCCTATTTATCCGATGACTAGGTTGGGACAATCCTCCATTCACCCATTTGTCCAAATGTTGCCCCATACCATCACCCCATCGCACTGCCATCCACACCACACCTAGCAGTGACAAGACAGAGTGAAACAACAAACAATCACATTTATTTACAAATATTTGTCTGTACAACCAATTGGGCAGATAATCAACTAGTCAGATGCAACGCGTTTGAAACAGCAACAGAACAAACTCCTCAGACGTCTCCGCAAACACTTGCGCCACTAAAGTAGAAGCACTTGGTCATTAGCGAGCTGATTGTGGAGAGGTGTGCAAAGATCATTTGCATGCATGTGTACAACGCACCGAAGACTGCGATTTGGGTGACGCTGGTTACACTGGTACTCCTCTGCCTGTATTTCACCTGTCCTTATCAGCGGACGACAGATTCGATGTGGAATCTACGCTGCCTGGAGACCTGCACCACGGGTTGGTGGCGAGAAAAAAGAAATACCCCGTAATGATGATCTCCACCTCACTGTTACTGCCTATTGCCGTACCTGCTGTGCAAAACCTCTCAAATTTTTCCTCCTCCTCCTCCTCCTTCTCATCATCCTTACCTCTTTCTCTCAACATCGTCCTCTCTTGGTGCTGCATCTACTCTTGCTTCTCGTGGTCCATCTGCTCCACATTGTGCCTTTGCTGGTCTGGTTACTTCGCACTTGAATAAGGAAGGTTGAGTAAATGCTAAAAACCTCGCGAAGAGTAAATGAAATTGCAGGGTGAGACGATAGCTTTGTTTGGAAGCTCAGAACGAGCAGTAGGCGCTTAGATTGATGATGGCGGCAGTGCTTCCCATGCGGACACTGGTAGTAAAGGTGTTGGCTTCGTTGGTGTCGTCTTCGACTTCGATATCAGCGTCAGCAAAAGCTGCAGAGATGACTTTGGACGTGATGGTCGTAACTGTGGTGTTAGAGTCCACATCGGACCAGCCACCGAGTGAAGCCCTCCACTACTGCCGCCAACTACGGACAGATGTTCTCTTGCAAGGGGGTAAATCAGGAGCACTGATGAGGTAAGCAACCCGTCTTCCATTTGTGAGCACCTAATGGAGCAGAAAGTCAGCCTTACCAAGTGCAATTGTGTTGTGGGTCTGGTCAGTACGCCTTGCTTATAAGGCGCCGAAGTGTGACCCGTCTCCACTGGCTGTAAAGGAAGTGGAGGTGCATGAGAGCAAACGGCGGCTGCATCTCAAGTTGTGCTGCAGTTACTTCAAAATCGCTCGATGTCATCATGCGCATAGTGTTCAAGGCGAAGGTCAAAGTGCAAATGTCAATTTCAACTTGGCTTATCGATTGACTGACTGATTGACTACTTCCTCGCTTGCTTGCAATCAATTAAAAATTTGATTTGAGCTTCACATGTCGTCGTGAACGCAAGTAAGCAGGAGGTGGGGCCAAGTCGGAATAGCCACCTACTTAAATCGTTCGATTCAAGTCAAAATGGTATCCATTAGGATGGTAGACTGTGAAACCAATGCCCAGCTAATCCTTCGCCTCAATTTAGTTCGAAGGTGGTAGAAAATAGTCGCCTTTCACCCTTAGCCTTCATGTCCTTAGTGAAGAGCACTTTGGCACTTTGGATGGCTGCATTTGACTTAGGTCCAGCAGTAGTTGAGCACCACACATTTGCTGAAATCCAAACTATTACCGTACCGCGTGTTCCAGTCTACTCGCCAGTGATGTGCTATAGCCCTACTTTGTCTCAACACCAGGCGGCGAATGTTGCCGTTGAGATAGGGTAACAGTCGTTCTGTTGCTTTTGTGTCTCTGTGTGCAAGTGGACGTCTGACAATAAGTTGAGGGTGTTTGTGTGCACCTTGGGAAGGGGAATTGTCCATTTCTTCCCCATACCTTGTTTGGTGGCGTAGATGAAACTGCAGGTGTTCTGTCAGGTCGCTACTTTGCCTTCGTACTGAACTACTTCGGTGGCTGATAAATCTCTCTTTTTTCATGTCGTCGAGCTGTACCTGCAAATCATTTTGACATTTTAAAGTATTGCTCCCAGGGTCGTCGATGTTGCGTACTTTGCAAATTGAGAGTGGAATTGCAAGTCTGAAACCTAAATCCGTTAACTCAGTGTCATTAACGCCAAACCATGTATTTTATTTGCATTTACGACTTGCTTCTATGAGTCACATTGCCTCAGAAATAACAGGCGACATGTGCGTGTCATGGCCAAGCTTTTTCCACATTTACTTAGATGTAACTTCCACCACATATCGTCAGCAAGGTGCGCATTCACAGACTTCGCATTCTAAGACACCAAATTTTGGCTTCCTTACAATGAACAGTGTCAGCGTTAAGTATCTTCTTGTCTTTTTTACAAGTGAGGTGCATTTCTCCACACTTTAGTGGAATAAAAATTAGACACCCACATTCCTATTTGGTTTACGTTTCTAGCTAGAGAGGAGTATCGCTGTTGAAATCATACTACCTTTACTATAATATGCAGGGGGACGAGAACCTACTCTTCACTCCACCCGCCTGGACTCGAGTCATCGTCCCACTATCACCTCCACCGCTGGCGAAATGGCTACTACTGCGTCGTGCCTTCCTTGATTAGCTACTGCAATAATCCTCCCGTCGATCTGATTAACGCCTTGACTCCCACTGTTTTCGCGCACGTCTATCTGCTATTGCCATACCTCTGGCCATGGTGTGGAGCCTTCCACCTGGCCTTTCACACGTGTTCCACGTGGTCGCGCTCTACACCGCCTGGTTAGACCGAGAGGCAGAGGCTGAGTCGGTGTCCTCCTCCTCATTCTCTTCCACCCCATTCTCAGTTGGCAACGCTGGTGCCAATCTGTTCCACCTTCTCGCCAGCCACATTTGATTTCTCGACAAACAGATGTCAGGTCAACTGCTAGCGGGCAGATCGAAGAGCTTACGCTCCGTGTTAGATTGTATGTGGGAGGGGGGTCAGATGCTCTCAACCATCACTCCTTTTGCCGTCCCCTTCAAATTATTCACGTGCTTACCTTTTCTCATCCTTATTCTTATCCCTGTAGAAAGGATCGTCAGGAGTGGATGCGCTGTCGCAGGAAGATGCACCATCAATGGCGGAGCAGATGCTGAGTGTCAGGAGGCTAGTGGACTTCCTCGGAGAGCATCTTCCCCAACAGTCAAATCAGCATGCCATGGCGATGGAGATTGGCGAACTGCTACGCACTATTGACCAATTGTCTTATAAAGTAATCACCATGATCTTTCAGATTAAAGAGTTTTTTCATTACTACGGACAGTGTTGATTTAGAATGGTGATCGATGGCGCCTCCACATTGCTCTCGGTTTCTACGAAAAACTGTCTTGATAGAGGGGTCTTCCACAGGAATGGTTTTGATAGCAATGCTCTCCACCTCCACAGCTCCTTTCAGAGAGGCGTAGTCCAAAAGACAGAAGAGGCGACATGGTAATGGAATGAGTAAACCAGAGACGAGTATGGCTGAGTGGAGAACACGAGAGCCACACCGAGTCTGTCTTCCACTGACCAACAATCCAGCACCGTAGATACAGTGATATCAGTTAGAGCAACGCCAACAAAGATGCATCCCCAAGGTGGACAGCTATATACCGTACGATTAACAGAGTACTGGAGCCTAAAACAATGAAGTGGATGCAGAGCGTTCCTGCAAAGATTTACACCAGGGACAGCACCCTCGATCATGTCGAAATATGCAAATACATTGATAGCTTGCATAATTTTACACTTCACTTGGAACCTGGCTGACTTCAAACTGTCAAATAAGCAATGAGGATTTTATAAAATGGGAAATTCTTACGAAGATGTAATTGTAGGTGAAGTATGCGTTATGGAGGAGTCTACTGAACTTATCTTCTAAGATGACTCTCTCGGAGAGGTTCGTGCATGTCTCTTGCTGGCGGCGAAAATGTGGAGAATCATTCAAGTCTCCCCTGCATCATTACAGACTTTGCATAATGACAAAATCAAATGGTCAGGATTGGACACTTTTTACCAGTATTACATCAATCTGAACATTAGTAGTGACAGTGTCACTGTCTTCCATTTCAACGCTTTCGAACAATTCTCCTCCAGATGTCTATTTATGATTGAGGTATCTACTCTGAAGCAGACCTCACAGCAAAGTAGCACTGGAGATAAGCAGACTTTCCGATTATGAGACAGCATCGAACCTCACAACTGCCAAAAGACGAACCACCCTTTGTTTAGAAAATTGGATCTGCTTTTAACAGTTGTTGACAGGCTCCAGTCGCTTCAACAGTCACCTTGACAGTATTATGTAAGAATGCTCCTTCCTAAAATCAAGAAGAAGTCGAACAGGTTACCACAAAGGCCTAATCAACCAATTCTTTCTTGCAGTTCGATGACGTCAAATTGGTGTAATTAATGATCATTTGGGCCGTTTGGACGAAGAGGCTTCAGTGAATGCGAGTCTGGTAATGAAAGGGTCGTCAAGATTCCCCGAGATGAAGGAGTGTTCTGAACGTGCATCAGTCTGATCTGCGCTTCCTGCTCTCTATATATACCACCTATATAAATGCCCTTACCTAGACAGTCTGTTCGTTCCACTGAATTGGAGTGCATGGTGGAAGACTCAAATACTGGATATTTGCGCTGGTGGCGATGAGGGGATAAGGCAGCACAGAGTTGTTCTAACTCGGTGTCTTGTGTGATACCTGCGTTTATAACGGTTGAACAGAGGTTTGAGTGGCTAGGGAATATTTTAGATTCTCAGCGCCCTGCCACTGAATCTCTGTTAGACCGTCGTAGATGCATGTATCCCACGAAACACCGAATAAGATGATGACTCCGCTACCCTATACCAACTCATCATCAACCAGGATGAGCAGACACTGGCCAGCAGATTCATCCGTTGATAACAAGGTAGACAAACACGATAAAGAGGAGAAGACGCTTTGCGTAGCTCATCACCAACAACTGTCCAGTTTGGACATGCATCTCGACCACTCATTGCGATCGAGAATCTCCACGGTATAAATACCGATTCCTCTTGCCACCTGATGAAGTTTGCAGCTGGGAAGTGTCATGAGTTGTCTATAATACCGCGAGATAAAGCTATCAAAGTCACCATAAGTAGCCCCTCTCCAGTTGTACCCCAATTTTCGCTGAATCGTTCGTTGTCAACATGTGCATGATATTCAAATAATAATTTTAATTTGGCATATCGGTTGACTGGTTGATTACTTCCTCATCATTTACAAATTTGTCGGCAATTACATTTGAGTGTTTGACGCCCTGATACGTCTTATTACTTCTGGGTGTGGTGCTGATGTCAATGCGATGGCGCGGTGGCAGAGGGATGGATTTAGGCAATTAAATGAAGAGGTGAGGGTAACAACCAAGCCATCGGACACATTGGCAGAGACAGGCAGACAGATAGATGGATGAGTGGATAAATAAATAGATAGGTAAGTGAGTAGGTGAATGCGTTACTGACTAAGCAAATTCCGACTCGAGAGGATAATCAGCAATGGTTTGGTATCACCGCATGCTTTACCTCGGACCAGACACACGCGGAGCTGGGACACCATGCGTGAATTGCAAAGATCTGGGAGAAGGCAGAGTAGAGAATCGGAAGGGGAAGTAGAGAGCTAGAAGGAAAAAAACGTTGGATCTGGCAGGGAATTACAAAATCTAATCCCTTAGTTCACATATGATTAGGCTGGTGCCTCTCATATTCCGTGCCTGTTCTCCACTGACCGGGATGGTGGAGCACCATTACAACTGCAGCCCTTAGCGGATTGCAAACGCAAAATAAATGAGCTTGCCGATGACCACTTATGTCTGCACAGGCCACGAGTAATTCACTTTCTTTTTGCTGTTTCGATTCCACTGTGTCTGACTACTCACCCCATACCCGATTAATTACATCATTGAGTATCAGTCATGAAATGTGACGTTGACGTTTGAAACTAATAAAGGGTTAAAAATGCAGTCAAAGCCTTGAGTTTAACTTCCATGAAGACTTTTTTACAATTGGTGACAAGGGTCATCACCAAATCTTTCATTGTTAGAACTCAACGCAGGGCACAAAACGCTGGCCAAAGCAGTGGAAAGTTGTGCTTCCTCCCATCGGTATACACCAAACAGAGGTGGAAAGCTTGCTTTTATCACTAACAATCTCACCTGACAGAAAACAAGAGCAAACGCAAACTGAGCTTTACCTCAGGATCATTTGGAAATCACTAAACCATTGTTACTTGCTGATAACGGGAGCATATTTTGGACAGCTTATTTTTGCTGGACTCCGCACCTAAGCTTGCACACGTCAACAAAAGCTCATTACGCTTCTGTACTAGTAAGCGATGTTGCATCTGCGAAAGCGAACTGATTATAAGTGAAGTTATGGAAAGAGGTTGCCTATCTTACGACGATTGTCTGCCGGGTTGTTCAAGAATGCAGAGTGCAAACCGCCTCCTTACCGTTTGCAGCAGAGGTCATTTCAGTGCGGATAAATCCATCATTTAGTGACGGTGTGTTTGCTTTCCACTTCTACTTCCACTTCATATGAAGAGGACTGGTTGGCGGTTGTAAAGGAAGTTGTGTTTGCCTCCGCCTTGGCGGGTCAATGGCATCTTCCGGTGTACAAGGTTGATCCGTACGGTCCACTTGCCACCCGGTCAAGGAGTATTCAAACAAACATACGATGCCATCGTTTATTCTAACAAGTTTAGTCAAGCAGAGTGAATCATCATTTCTTTGGACTACTTAGAACAAAATCTTCTATTCTACCCGACTGTGGGACTTAATTAAATCTTTAGCGTAAGCCACCAACCTACGTGCTCTACGTGTTTTTATTCTATCCACCTTCGGTGTCATAAGCTAAAATTCACTTTAACTCACTGGCGACTGGACATTTTGCTTAGCTGCATTTTTAACTGTGCGGCCACTTCAGTCTTTGGTGTTTGCACTAACGCTCTATGGCATTGCATTCGCGACTGGCTAGTAGCTTCCGAACCCTTCTCTGCGTTGGTGAAACATCTTCTCTTGCGTTATTTCAGCTTTTTACAACTTAAGAGAGGACCCAAGTTGCGATACAATACAACTTTTGAAATGGTGGCTCAGCCTGTTCCAGATGGTTCTTGTACATGGCATGATAGACATCAACGAAGAGTCAGTGTTGTAATCATGTCTGTTAATAAGTTAGCTAGGGTTAACGTAATGTGAAAACACCCAGCTAATCACTTTTAGAAGACGACGCGTGAGGGAACACGCAAGGCCCTCTCTGGTCAACGCTTTTAATCCGATTCTGTAGAACAGCCCTGGATTTGCCACTGTTAAATGAGCTCTTATTTTGTTAGATCACTTTATCATTACTGCTAATTCTTTTCCTGTCATG